TTTTTGAAAATAGGCTCATTTTCCAACTCCCCTAGAGTTAAACAGTTGAGTTTTACCGTTTTCGAATCCATTCAGCCGATCTCCGGGTCTGGCCGTAGCACTTTTAGCTGTAGCTTAGCATAGATTATTGAATCTGATTAGACCGTTAGCATCTCGCTAAAAAATGACCAAAGAGTTTCTATATTTTTCCTATTTAAAACTTGACTCTTCTGTAGTTACATCGTGTACTAAGACCGACGGAAAATGAAAAGTTGTGATTTTCTAGGCCGATATTGCTAGGATGGGTACCATGGGTGCAGCAGGCGCAATGATATTACGCAGCGCCTGACAATAGGCTTCTTGGAAGTTACCTAACTGGGGACTATTTTCAGGCGCTGCGTAATATCATTGCACCTGCTGCACCCATGGTACGGCAGCAAAGTTCCTTGATTATTATGCCGGAATGAGAGTATAGTTCCTAGCCATATTGGCCTAGAAAATCGCAACTTTTCATTTTCCATTGGTCTTAGTACACGATATAACTACAGAAGAGTCAAGTTTTAAATAAGAAAAATATAGAAACTCTTTGGTCATTTTAGAGCAAGATGCTAACGGTCTAATCAGATTCAATGATCTATGCTAAGCTACAGCTAAAAGTGCTACCGCCAGACCCGGAGATCGGCTGAATGGATTCAAAAACGGTAAAACTCAACTGTTTAACTCTAGGGGAGTTGGAAAATGAGCCTATTTTCAAAAATAGTGGAGTGTTCCTTTAATGCTCTATTGCATTGTAAAATAACATACGATCTATGCTAAACCCTAACCTAAACTTAACGGATAATGTTAACAAACACCAACATGGGGTAAAAAAGGCATTTGCTGAAGGTTGTTTTTTACAAGTGTTTGTGCGCCTTTTTTGTAACGCATTTTTTATGGGACTCATGCTTGAGTGCTCCACAACACAAGTGCAATGCTGTACTAGGTGAGCTACCGAGCAAGTTTGCTATAGCAGAAAATCCATAAATATAGGCCTGGTTATGTGATGCAAACATCAAAATGTATTAGCTTACAAATCACACACTATAATAAAGTTTTTTTGAGGTCAATAGTACAGTTCTTTAAGTTGTCAGTGTTTTAAAGCAGTGAATTGTATGTGTAAGAATGTTTTTTTGGAGTTTTGCAGGTAGAGGAACGTTTCCCAAAGTATTTCACTGCAAAAACTTGCTTGTTATTTACTCACTTCACACCATCCTGCTTATTCAGAAGCGACATGAGCTGAGTATATACACAAAGTCATTGTCATTCTTTACCAAGGCCATAATGAGGATCTGAGGGCATGTGAGGCTTAACCCAGAGTCACAACCAGTCCTCACAATATAGAGATATGAAATAGTTACATATATGCTATATAGTTGACATAGTCAACATAGCCCTGACAGTGAAGAGTGTGACTGTAATGATATGGGACTGCATGACTTCAAAAATACAGAGGAAATTATATTTATAAATGCCACCACAAATGCCTGTGGATATATCAAAAACATAACCTGGCCAAGTATACCACCTGACTTTCTGTTTGTCATGAATGCTGTTTGATCCTGCATAGGAATTGCACTGGTGCACCTGGCGAAACATAACAGTGTTCTCTGTTTTTCCATCTTTTTTAGATCTCACTTTTCTCTATCGCTGAAAACTCAATCAGCATTCGGACTCATCTTCTACCTGGCTGACGAGTCTGAGGAGAACTTCATGGCTCTGTTCCTCACTCATGGAAGGCTGGTATTCACATTCAGCTCGGGCCAGAACCAAGTCAGAATCAGATCCAAGGAGAAATACAGTGATGGACAGTGGCATGATGTAAGTTAAATCTGACTTCAGTTTGTCCTAGCAAATACGTAACACTACCCATAGAGAGAGAGCGAGCGAGAGAGAAAAAGATCACATACTGGCTAGTAATACTGACTGCAGAAATTTAATTTAATTTAATTTAATGTTAAAAAGATATCACAATAAACAAGGTCTTTCAAAGTTCTCTTTATTTATAGTAGGAACACTAAATTAAACAGTGAATAACAAAATGATGTTATAGTTCATTTATCTTTATGGTGTAAATCCCAAAAATTATACTGACCTACATGAAGTAACAGTTTGGCTTATGTCTAAAGAAAAGTGTGTAAAAGTGTATGATCTTTATAATAAATAATCCTTTTTATTTCATATGAATGTTTGCATCTTTGGGAAAATAAATATATTTGAATCAGATTAAAATTTAAATATAATTTGTGAAAAACTAATAATGTTGGCTGCAACAAATTATTGAGTTGCTCCTAAGTGTATTTTTTTTTAGTGCAGATAATGATTGTTTCCAAGCATATAGAGTTATACAGAGGCCAATTACTCACCTTTAGATTGACATCCCACTAGAATTTTTAAGATTAATTTACATTGCATAGAATTGAGAACACAACCTTCGAATGCTGAGATGTTCTGATGTCTTGATGTCTTTAGTTTCAAGTAACAGAATCCTCTTCCCAAATAAGCAGTAATTATTGAATAGTTTGCCTATTACAGGAGTGGTTCTTTTTTGTGGCACTTTATCTCTCCTTCTGTAGATAATCTTTATCAGAAGTGGAAATACTGGCAGACTGATAATTGACGGGCTTACGGTACTAGAGGACAGAGCTCCAGGCGGAAACATCTCACTGCTTGTCCAAGATCCACTCTTTGTAGGTGGGGTGCCGCCTGATCAGGCCAAGAAAAACATTCAGGTATTGTGATCCCTCATTAACTGCCCTATTCCCTCAGGTGCTGCAAATCATTCAGATCTATCTGAAAATGAATAATCCATGTAATCATCATCACAAAATTAACTGAAACTGAGTACAGTCCAAAGATGACCAGTAGTGCACTAAATATCTTGGCATTAACAGTCTGTCACTGTAAATATCCTGTGTTGTCACAGTTTAAAATAGTATTCACGTTAATTAGGTGCAATTTTTCACGAAAGCTTTCAGAGACATGGTAACGGGCAGAAATGTCTGGAATGCAGGCAGCTGGATCAGAATACATTAGTGTTTCTATCCTCGCTGTCAAGCACACTCTTGACTGCTCAGTAATAGAGTACTGTATGCATACTTATTTTCTCTACTTATTATGGAAATAATATACTTTAAAAGAATAAACTTACATGCAAATAGAATATAATGGCATTTATGCTAAACTAAAATACACTTTAATGTCATTTCTGTCTGAGTTATGTGTGTTAAGAAACATGATAATGAAAGTGTACTCTCTTTAAGTATATTTAAGTGGCCTTTTATTTCTTTCAAATTATATCATCTGCAGATACAGCACTTCTTTTTCATAAGGGTAGGTAAATCTTGAGCAAAAGTATAATGTTGTAAAATAGATGGTTTTAGTTAACAATCCCGAGATTAAGTCACATGTTTTACCAGCTGAGATAACCAGGTTTCTGCACTTCTCAGATTAGGGTTTTATTATACAATGTCACGTTTTAGTCACAAGATCAGCCTACTTAAAAAATCTATATTTTGACAGCGTCTCCTACAGTGTCATAGCACTCACATCACAAAAAAACTCAATATTTTCATAACATGTCCTTTTATTTATTTTAGTGTTATATGCTTAGTGTTGGGTCCTGATCACCATGTTTGAGTTTATTTTGTGATGATGTTAATGAAACTGACTGTTAATTAAATGTATACTTCTGTAGAAGACGTCTGTGTCTGGCTTCTCTGGCTGTGTGCGGAGTCTCCAGCTGAATGGCCGCTGGCTCACCTCTGCCTCCCACAGTTTTGGGGTCACACCCTGTTATGAGGGCCCCTCTGAACCAGGGACATACTTCACTGAGGAGGGAGGATATGTGTTGCTGGGTAACATACAATGCATCACTACTACACTACTCTCAAATTCACTTAATTAAATGTTTTAGTGTTGAGAAAGAGGAGACTGTATTCCCACCATGGCTCACTGACCCCACTGGGTATGTCAGCATGAATTTATTTACATTCTTGATTTATTCCTCAGTGACATTAATGGAACAGAGTTTCATAACTTCAGTGAATAATTTTCTCATTTTAATTAAAAAGTTATTAAGCTATTATTAAAAGCTGTTATGTCTTGTGGATTAAGCGTAAATTATGTGAAATGTTTTATTCAGGCAGGGTTATTATCGGTAATTAAAATGAAAATGATAAAAAAAGAAGTTACTTGAAGTAAAATACATGTTAATTGAAATGAAATTTAAATATAAAAACCCCACATTTATATTTTAGCTAGGTGCCAACATTTTGCTCAGTTTAACTTAAAACACTAAAATAACATAACTGACATTCTATTTGTGTTATTTCAGTTTGAATGATTTTACTATTTTAACCTGTTAACTGTAAGCATCCCGGTATCATTCGAAATATACGGTACTACAATATTTTACAGTTAAAATCTTTGATAATCTTGACAGAACATGTCGTTGGAAAGGTCCGAGTCTCAAGGTTCCATATTTGGGGGTTATTTTGTGATTGAATTAATTTAGTGATTAATGTAATATTTGTAATAGGAAAATGCATCAAAAAAGTTCAATGATGTTTGGGTGTCACCCAGTGGCTATTTTTGGTATAGCGCTTGAACAAAATCTCACAGGAACCTCAATTTTTGTGATATAAATTTCAAATTTGACACATAACTTATTTAGTCAAGGCTTTAATTTTATTTAAATTTAGATTCCAAAATATTTTGTAAAATATTTATTTCATATAAAAACTTCACATATTCTTTACAATAAATTTGAGGCAGCGGCTATTTGCACTAAGTGTAAATAGCGATAGATGCTATTTACACTAAGAGCAAACAGCAATGGATTCTATTTACACAAAGTGAAAATAGCGGTTTTTTTTTTTTTTTGCAAATAGTGGTAAATATCTGCACCTCAGTATTGTGGTACATTGTGGTAAAACAGTATGCAATAACAACATTGAGTGTAAATTCTCATTTTTGTTAGAATTATTAAATGGATGCCGCCTTATTGTAACAATAAAGCCTCCCTACACTTACCCAATACTTTATTTTAAACTTTCAGATTATTTCCTTCATTTTTATTGAAAATAAATGCCTTTCCGATGTGATAAGAGATGTGAAAATGGAGAAGAACGAGTTCGGCAAAAGGCGGATTTGAACTGTGTTAAGCGCTTATCATCTACGTCACTAAAGCTGTCAACTGATAGCCATCTTTAGTAATGTTGTCCAGCCCAATCACACATTGGTGGGCGGAGTTAGTGCAAATGGCCTCTCTGCCAACAAAGCAGGCCTTTTGCACTTAGTGTGCCGGTGTGTCGCTGAAATCGGAGCTGGTGAAGGGCTGCTGTTCGCGGGGGAACTGCGAACTTTAGACCGCGGCCTCGCATTTCACTCGTAGCTGAGAGATGCCGCGACTGACTCCAAAACCTGCTCAAAAACAAAGAGTACTGAATTTAGAGAACATATTTTAACATCAAATTAAATTACACTCAGTATTATAACGAATAAAATCCATTTATGTTGTGCAAGGCAAAGGCGTTTCCAGTGCGAAACGACCGCTGCTGAGTGCTGACGCAGCTGACTGACATCTCGTCCTTATGTTGCGTTCTCAAAAACAAAGAGTACTGAATTTAGAGAACATATTTTAACATCAAATTAAATTACACTCAGTATTATAACGAATAAAATCCATTTATGTTGTGCAAGGCAAAGGCGTTTCCAGTGCGAAACGACCGCTGCTGAGTGCTGACGCAGCTGACTGACATCTCGACCTTATGTTGCATTGCGTAAAATAATATAATTTACACCACATTAAAGACTTTATAAATTAAATAAAACATATACCAACCTTTATTTCCCGGAAAGAGTGCACCAAATCGGCGGCGGCGGCACTGGCACCAAAACAAAGACTATAGAATACCCAAGACGTGTCACTCGTATAGATTTGAATGGGGAAAAATGCAACGCTTAACTAAAGCTGTCAATTGATAGCCGTCTTTAGTAATGTTGTCCAGCCCAATCACACATTGGTGGGCGGAGTTAGTGCAAATGGCCTCTGCCAACAAAGCAGGCCTTTTGCGCTTAGTGTAAAAAGACACTCTGTAAACTTAAACATAACAAAATAAACAAACTTAAACATGAACTTTTTTTAAACTTTCATTTTTTTAAAATGCTTTCACTTCAGCAATAATCTGCTGATTGTCTTTTCTTAAAAAAGAGACAAACCTAAGGTCTGTAATCCAACGTATTTATGAATTCGAGTTTGGATAGTACATTTTCACATCTATGATCAAAGTGAAGGGGGGTGACGGTTAAGAGGTTAAGATGTGGAAAACAGTACTGGCAAAAAACGAGTAGATAAACATTTGACTGCTTAACCCAGTACACTTACCCTAATTGCTAACTTATCAAGACAAAGCATGTTTTGCTTGTGAGCGACATTATGGTGAGAGCCAAACTCACACTAACCAGCATAAACCAGCTTGAATTCTCATGGTGGTCTTGTGCAAGAATACCACTAAAAAAATAACCCAACACATAAGTGAGAGCCACAGACAGACAGAGGCTCCTGTGAGAGAAGTGGAATGTGATCTGCCGCTTGTTCAGCCATCTGATTGGTTGGTGCAGAGGTTGGGGATGATTTAAGCAGTCCTCAAGGCCTTGGGAAATGGAGTTGCAGCTGTTAAATGTGCATAGAGACATTTCACGCCCTAGTGCGGCTGTCAGGGGGTTACACACGCACATAACTCTTCTTGGCTCAAGAGGACACAATCCCAGCATGCACAGCTATTCAGTACTGCTGTATTCACACAGCAGTGATCAAGAATCAGATGTCTCCTTGTCTAAATGCATTAGCCATTTGCGGTTATAAGTGAATCCAAGGATAATATGCTGACATAAAGTATGTTCTTCTCCTGACATACAGATGACTCCTTTAATTTTGGCTCAAGATTTAAGATGGTGATAGAGGTGCGCCCTCGTGTGGCGTCAGGAGTGCTTCTGCATGTCTTCACCGGAGAGAAGGAATATCTCACCCTGTACATCTATCAAAACCAGGTCTGAAGATCCAATCAAAGATTTATTATAATTCCCATGACGTGTGATTCATCTTCAACAAGTTCAACATGACTTATGTTTTAGTATGGTAGTCAGCACATCAAGTATTGTACTTCTTCAAAGCATGACAAAGATTATTAAACATAATGATTTATAAAGTACTTAAAGTAAAACATGTAATTTCACATTATTACAAAGTATTAAATGTAGAAGAAATATAGTCTTGAAAGTGTACTATATTAAAGGGGTGGTTCATTGCAATTTCACTTTTTTAATGTTAGTTAGTGTGTAATGTTGCTGTTTGAGCATAAACAATATCTGCAAAGTTACGATGCTGAAAGTTCAATGCAAACGGAGATATTGTCTTTTAAAATTCTGGCAGTTTAATGCCTACAAAAATGGCTGGTAGGGACTACAACAAGTTACTTCCCGGGTTCGTGACATCACAAACCCAGATAAACCCCGCCCTC